GGCAGCAATGCATTTGTAGAGTCCGCCGTCGTTCGTGTGAATGCTGGAGATGTTCAAGTGAGAAACCACGTCGCCGTTCACTGTAACGTACTGGCCTACTTGAAGCCTCTCTGTGTTGGACAACCGTTTGCCATCGAGTTCCCAGGTGATCTCAGGAGTCGGATTTCCGCTGGCCACGCACTTCAAGAACATGCTCGGCCCCGGCTGCAGAGTCTCCTCGGCGAAGGCCTGGCGAATCTGCGGGGGTTCGACTGTGGGTGTAAAAATCATTTGCAATCAAAACCGTCTCTCGATGAGTGCTACCTACACAGACACTTACATAGTGGCCAATTATTCTTTGTTGATTACATTCGTAAGCAGTTCTGTCTATAAAATACACATACCCCGAATCAGCAATAGAAATACATATATTTACCAAATTCTGAATATTTAAAGAGAAATTTGAGACTTGAGATATTTTATTGCGCTAATTTATTTATTAAGCATAGTCGCTGAATGGTTCTGAAACAACGATGTAATCTGAATCAGATTTTACAGTTTCTTAAAATTACGCGACTGTCAATTTTCTAGTTGAGAATTTTATTGCATGAAAGATTCGATTGTTTATTTTGGAGCTTTAGTATGTAATATTATCAATGAGCAAAAACGAGAACTTTTAAGAGAGCTTGCACCATCCGGTGCACTAAAAGTTACTAAAAAATAAAACTGAATTTAATCTAAATTAATTTTCAAGTTAGTAAAACTTTCAAAAAAACAAAAACAAAACAAAATACCGCTACAAATTAGTCTTCGTTAATTTTTTCGAACTTACAATATCCAAATTCTTCTCTCGCTTATTTCTCCTTCCATAGTCATTCACGTTTACAAATATGATCAACAAAAAATACTATATAGGTCTCTGAGGATCTATCTCTGAGCATCTGAGGACCAAGAAAGCTTACATCGTCCACCAAGTTTCAATTCAGCAGTCGCCTGAGCGCTTTCTTGGTCATTTCTAACGAAGCACTGGTACATCCCCTTGTCCTCTTTCTTGACGCTCTCGATTCTCAGTACCGGCTCTTCCAGTCCAAGAGGTTTGCCATCCTTCAGCCAGGAGACAGTCTTGATCGGATTTCCTCTAACGTTGCAGGTGAACGTAGCCGGTCGTCCAAAGTCGATGGTCTGCGTGCTGGGTTCGATCTCGGCAGCCAATGGGGCAGTTACGGTGAGGACGGTCTCCACGCTCTCGCCACCGACCGAATTGTTCACGATGCACAGATACTTGCCGGAATCTTCGACGCGAGCCTCGCGGATGATCAATGTTCCGCTGACCTGACGTACGCGCTCGTTCAGCTGAACAGGTTGACGACGTGACGAGCCCTCGATGAATTTGTACCATCTGAAACAACAGGATGAAAGGAGATTGTTTTCTTTCTCTCTCTCTCTCTTTCTCTTTCTTTTTTTTTTACGAGTCGAAACGAAAAGGCGCTTTCGTGCCGGATCGATTCTCGTACAAAATGAAAGAGACGAAACGAAGCGAATAGAAACGTTCTTGGTTCTCGTTCGTTCGGTTGAAACGGTTCGATCACCGTGTCACTGGCAGAGAGATCGCGTGAGGTCCGCGGAGAATCGGCACGAGAGATAGCGTGTCTGTAAGTTTCCAAACACCTAGCAAATCCATATTGATGAGATGTAATGGTGCTTCTTGATGAAATCAACTGAATGTTAAAATTCGTATTAATATTAATTGGATATTAATGCAGAAAATGTACATTACCGTGCGTAAATAATTGTACATTTAATGCGATAGTTGATACTTTTGATACGTGCCAATTATAATCGACGAAGATTTCTCGATCACTGGTTTTTAATAAACAATATTCGTTTTTGATAAATAACTGATTTCACAAATCTGTCAGAAACATGTATTTCAATCGTGTTAAAACTTTAATAACAAAAATATATTTACAATAATTATTATAATATTAACTATTCTTTTTATTAATTTCTGTTTATTAATTGTGTGTGTGTACGACAGTTTTATCCAGTTTTTACTCACAGCTAAGAGTCGAATTTATTTACAATACCATCTCTATTATCATTATGCTTTTCATCAGAATTTGCTAGATATCCGGAAATTTATGGCTGCGTGTGCGTTTGAAAAGTTGGCAGAGGCAAGAAGAATACTCAATCCGCTCCAACTGACTCTCTATTATCTATACAATTTTTAATAGTAGATGTGATCATTTAGCATGAATTAATAGACTTTATGCAAATTCATATTCAAATTCATTCATGAGAATATAATTAAAAAAGTAGAACTTTTGTAGGCAATTGTTTACGTATTAAATGTCATATAAAGCACTATGCTTGAGATATTTTATAGATTTCTTTCTAAATTATGTGCTATTTATGGTATAAAATTTCTTATAAATATAGAAAAATCCGCACTCCCAATCGCTTTGATACACGCGACGATAAATTCAAATCACTTCAAATAAGATTCTCGAAAGTCTTCAAGTTTACTTGGAACTCTCGAAGTCTTGAAGATCTTGGATATTTTGATAAATTCTACCGAAAGTATCATGCAATCAATTGTACCTTGCAAACTATAAATATACTCTATAGATCTTGACTTTCATGGATTTTCTTCGATACTCTGCAATAATGCTGTTGTTTGTAAAATATTTGTAAAATACTAATGCCAAGTTTTTAAGACTTAAGATCTTTGGAAACTCTAAGACTTCCAAAACAATAAAGACTATGAAGACTTTCAGAACTTTTTTTTCAAAAGTATTTTTTCAATATTTCATATAATATGTTAATGCCATTCAAAATACTTGTAAAAATATTGACTACAAGACAAATTCAAATTTCACGATTTATCAAAGTAACCAAGATCTTCAATCTATCGTTGAAACACTTCCAAAACTTCCAAGACTATCAAAGTAACTTCAATTTATTGTCCAAGACTTCTTCTGTAATATTTTGCATATGCCAATAAATACTATTGAAGCATTCAATACTTATAAAATATTTACTGCAAGCCAAATTTTCAAGATTTATCAAGGTAACCAAGATCTTCAATTTATTGTTCTAAGACTTTTCAAAATTACCAGATTCTTTTCTGGAAAATTTTATACATGTCAATGATACTGTTTGGAACAAGACAAAATTTTTGTAAAATACTTATTCCGTATCAAACTTTCAAGATTTATCAAAATAACCAGAATCCTCGATTTATTATTGCTTCAAGACTTCCAAGACTTCCAACTCTTTCTTCAATATTTTACATGTTTACATGTATATATATCAATGATACTGTTTGAAGTAAAGCATTCGAAATTCTCGTAAAACGTATCACACTTTCAAGATTTATCAAAGTAACCAGGATCTCCAATTTATTGCTCTAAGACTTTCGAGACATTTTCTTCGACATTTCACGCTTGTCAATAATACTTCAGATTGAAAAATACTGACTAGAACTGAAGCTTTCACTCAAAGTAGAACTACAATCTTCGACTTATCGTTCCAAGATTATCGAGGCTTCCAAAACGTTCAAGACTTCGGCATCGAATCCTACTCGAAGTGTTTCGAATCATTTAACTGGCCGGTCGTCGCTAATCGCAACTAAACGTTTGACGTTTCTATTCGCTTCATTCCGTGTCTCCTTTTATTTATCCATATTTCGTTTACAGGCAGGGCTTTGGGCGTCTCTGGGCGCGGGGCTTCTGTCTCTACTGTCGGCTCATTAGCGCGTGTCTCGCTGCGACACGAGTGCGCAAACTTAATGAAAAAGAGAGCTTCAACAGCAGCCCGGGCGTAAATAGCGGTCTTAAAGCAGAGCAGGTCGGGAAAACGGGGGGGAAGAGGGGAGAGGGAACGAAGGCTGGCAGCGACATAACTTCGTTACAGCCGACAAAAAAAAAAAAAAAAAAAAAGAAGAAGAAGAAGAAAAAAGAAAAGTGCGCAAGAGAAGCAGAGCGGTTTTCATAATCCGTAACACACACATATATATATATATATATGTACAGACGCCTGAAAGGTGCCCTCAGGTAATTCAGATATGCGTATCGTTCACACACGTCTAAAAGGGAGAAAGTGAGAAGGCGATCATCGTCGGCGAGAACGTTTAACTGGGACACCACCAGCTGCTGTCCCATCAGCGTCTCTTAAAACTCTCGATCTCTCCGCCACGTGCTGACCGACTGACTGTTTTGCGTTCCGTGACGAGTTCACCGGGGAACGGAGAGAGAACTCACGTAACGAAGAACAACGGAAAGAAATGAACGACCGGCGAACGAAATTAAGAAGAAGAGTAAAACAAACAAACAGCTGTACCAAGATCGTGTTCAACAGAAATTGTCAGGGGCAAAAGAAAACGAAGAGAGGAAAAACGAAATCAAAACAAGCTTGCACGAGAGAAGACTTGCGTGCCAGTGACGACTACAGCGAGCCTCGAGAAACGAAATCAACCCGTGAACAACGTGGGATGGTTGGAAGAACGGACGAGAGAAGTCTCGGGGAGGATGAGGGATCAGCGGTGGCGATCGAGCGGTGTCGCACGACAGTTTTTTGTGCAAGTGAACAACGGCGCGAATCACGACGAGTAACGAGTAAATTCTGGCAAGTGAGAGAAAGAGAGGATATATGTGTGTGTGTGTGTGTGTGTGTGTGTGTGTGTGAGAGAGAGAGAGAGAGAG